GAGGAGATTGAGGAGTGTTGCCTGGAGAAGATTGAGGAGTGTGATTGCTTGGTTTAACACCCTCCCGCAAAGTGATGGGGATGATCATCACCATCAGTTTGGACCGAAGTAGATGGAAACGGGCAGCTGTTTGTCCCTTTGTGAAGATATCGCCAATCTGATCTTGTGTGGAAATATATTTAACTTGAATGTCTTTATTGAGGACCTTTTCTCTAATGAAGTGGTAGTCAATTTCCACGTGCTTTGTTCGGGCATGGAAAACCGGATTAGAGGCCAAGGCGATAGCACCAATGTTATCACACCATAAGGTAGGAGTGTAGGGTAGGAAGACACCAAGTTCCTTGAGGAGCATTCTTATCCAATAGAGTTCAGCAGTGGTGATGGCCATGCTTCTGTACTCAGCTTCAGTGCTACTCTTGGAGACAATTGGTTGTTTCTTGGCAGACCATGATATCAAATTTTTCCCCAGGAAAACTGCATATCCAGTGGTACTACGACGATCATCAGGATTTCCGGCCCAATCTGAATCACAAAAAGCTTGAAGAGTAATAGTTCCTGGAGTGAACAATAGACCTGTATCAATGGTGCCCTTTAGATACCGAAGTACTCTCTTGACTGCAGCCCAGTGAGGTTCACGTGGAGAATGCATGAATTGACATAATTGATTTACTGCATATGCAATATCTGGTCTAGAGAAAGTACAGTATTGAAGTGCCCCAACCACTCTTCTGTACTCCGTTGGATCAGATAGTAAGGGACCTTCGGTAGAGGACAACTTTGGACCAGAAGTAGTTGGGCACGCAAGTGGCTTTGCTCCAATCATTCTGGTGCTGTGTAGTAAATCGGTGATGTACCGAGTTTGACGAAGATGTAGACCTTGAGAATCTCTTGATGCTTGAACACCTAGAAAGAAACTTAGATCTCCAAGATCTTTAACCATGAAGTTAGTCAATAGAGATTGAACAAAAGTATCAATTGCATGTGTGCTTGACCCAGTGACAATAATGTCGTCAACATATATGAGCACAAATAATTTCACAATCTCAGTAGTATAGACAAAGAGGGAGTAGTCAGCGGCTGATTCAACAAAACCATACTCAAGCAGGTGTTGGGACAGTCGTCTGAACCAAGCTCTTGGAGCTTGTTTTAGACCATAGAGTGACTTATGAAGTTTGCAGACATAATCAGGAAATGTTTCATCTACAAACCCTTGTGGTTGTTCCATAAATACTTCTTCATCAAGATAGCCATGCAGAAAAGCATTTGAAATGTCTAATTGCCGAATAGGCCAATTAAATGAAACAGCTAAGGCTAATACAATGCGAATAGAAGTAGGTTTTACCACGGGAGAAAATGTGTCTGTGTAGTCAACCCCATGTTGTTGATCGAAACCTTTTGCAACCAAACGGGCTTTGAATCGTTCTATACTTCCATCAGATAATCTTTTGATTTTATAAACCCATTTGTTACGTACGACATGCTTACCAAGTGGGCGGGGGCAGAGTGACCAAGTCCCATTCACCATTAGTGCATCAAATTCCCGTCCCATTGCTTCACGCCACGCTGGAGAGGCAGCTGCTTGTGTGTAATTGGATGGCTCAGTTTCAGTGATAATTGAGGAGAGTACCTGCAAGGGATGCCTGGTAGTATAAAACATTGTAAAATCAGGGAAGGCCTTAGGTTTTTGGTTACCCGTCATTGAGCGGGTTATGGGGCGGTTGGGATGTGGGACAGGGATGAGGGGTTCGTGTGAGGTTACAGAAATTTGTTCTGTGGACTGGGTTTGAAGTGGTTCGGAAAAGGAGATTTCAATGTTTTGGGTTTCAGATTGTAGTGGGGAAATGGGATTTTGGGAAAGGGTTTGTGACTGGTTGAGATTCTCACGAGGGGAGGATTCGTGGGTGGGGGTTGCTATTGGGTTGGTGGTTGGGGTTAGTGGAGCGGTAAAATCTGAAATGGAAAGAGGGGAAGGAGAAAATATACCAGGCAGGCTCGAGCTCGACGGTGCAGAAGAAGTTTGGACTTGACCCTTTGCGGGAAAATGTTGTTCGTCAAAGATTACATTTCGTGACACATATACACGCCCTGTGGCTAGGTCAAGACAGCGGTAACCCCTTTGTTGACTGGCATATCCTATGAAGATGCAAATTTTGCTTCTAAAAGATAATTTATGAGTCTCATATGGTCTTAATAAAGGAAAGCACGCTGATCCAAATATGCGAAGGTGAGAATAACGGGGAATGGTTTTATGGAGCATGTAAAAAGGTGTTAAATTATTTAAAACTTTTGTTGGAAGCCTATTTATTAAATATACTGATGTCAGGAATGCATCTGGCCAATATGTATTTGGAAGGTGAGATCGAGCTAAAATGGTGAGACCAGTTTCAACAATGTGTCGATGTTTTCTTTCGGCTATACCGTTTTGTTGAGAGGTATGAGGACACGTTAAGCGATGGAAAATACCATTGTCTTGCAAAAAAATTTTAAATTGGGTTGAGAGATATTCACCCCCATTATCTGTTTGGAATTGTTGGATTTTACAAGAAAATATATTTTCAACAAGTGCTTTGAATTGTTTGAAAATTCCAAAAACTTCACTTTTATAAATTAATGGGTAAAGCCAAGTGTAGCGAGAATAATCATCGACAAAAATAATATAATATTTGGAGCCACCAACTGAGTACACAGGTGATGTCCATACATCAGAATGAATAAGAGATAAAGGACGTGAAGAAATCCACCAACTGAGTACACAGGTGATGTCCATACATCAGAATGACTAAGAGATACAGGACGTGAAGATAGACGATTAGATTCACTAAAGGGTAATTGTTTGGCTTTCCCTAGGGGACATGCTGAACAAAAACCTAATTTATTCGATGAAATAGACAAATACTTAGATTGAGACAATTTATTTAAAATAGTTTGAGAAGGGTGACCTAAACGATCATGCCAAACATCTAAAGAAGTAGAGACACCAATTTTGGCAGTAAAACATGAAATCTTTGTTGAACAAGATTTAGTGTCTGCAATTGGGTAGAGTCCATTCTTAACATGCCCGTGAAGTAGGAGCCGTCCCGTCTTGTTCTCCTTCACACAAAAATCAGATCCAGTCAATATAAAATAGCAATCGTTATCAAGGCAAAAGCGATTAATAGAAATTAAGTTGGAAGAGGCATGAGGACAATGTAGGACTTGCTTAAGTGAAAAATTAGAAGTGTTTGTTTTAAGGTAAGTGGTACCCATATTATTAATCACTAAACCTGATCCATTGCCAACAGTGATGGTGTCCTCTCCAACATAGGGTTGCGATGAGGCGAGATTTGCCGTAGTGTTGGTGATATGGGCATTGGCTCCACTGTCCGCGTACCACACTTGTTGGGCATATGCAGCATTGCCCTCAGCAGCCATGGCAGCTAGATCAGAAGGTGGGTGTCGGCCTTGATAAGAAAAATCAAACCGATGATAGCAGTCTAGGGCTGTATGGCCCTGTTTTACACAAATTTGACATATGGGCCTGTTTTCAAGTGAAGGGGGCTGATTGGGCCTAGCATTCAAAGAGCCCACTTGAGTTGGGTGAGTTAAATTGGAAGGCACATGTGCCTGAGTGGAGAAGCCTGGGTTTTTATTTGGTTTCTTAACAAAAGGGGGTGCCTTGCTTCGGTTGGCAGCGAAGGCAAAGGTCTCAGAGGAAGCAGGGGCTTGATGCGACACCATGAGTGTCTCAAAGCTGAGAAGTTCTGCTTGGAAATCCTCTAGGGTGAAGTCTTTTTCACGGGTGGCGAAGTTGAAAGCGGTGATGAACGGAGCAAAGAGGGGTTTGAGGCCACTCAAGAGGTATGTGATGAGGTCCTGCTCGTCGACGGGTTTGCCAGCAGCCGATAATTGATCTGACAACAACCTTGCTTCTTCAATATACGCCAGACAGGTGCGGCTTCCCTGGGAAATTGTTTGAATTTGTCTCTTGAGGTGGGCAATTCGGGATCGTGAGGTAGAAGAAAAGCGGGTTTGCAGAGAATCCCAAACCTGCTTCGAGGTCTCGAAATTGAGAACGGTGGATACTAGTTTTTCAGAGAGTGAGGCATAGAGCCAACAGAGGACTGTGGTGTCCGATTTGGACCAGTTGGCATAAGCCGGATTAGTGGCGTTGTCAGGAAGAATCTTGGGGGGAGCGGGGATGGAACCGTCCACCATGCCAAGCTTATCATGGATCTTTAAGAAAGCCAAAAACTGGATTCTCCAGGTAAGATAGTTGGGTCCGTCAAGTTTGGGAAATTGTGGTGTATTTGTGTTTGAAGTGGCCATTGAAAATTAGGGATGATGATGTAGATTGCGGAAGCTGGTTTTGCAGGGTCGGAATAGGCGTGAGCTTTATAGCTCTGATACCATGTAAAAACAATTGTGATAGATGATTTGAGTGTAAGGCCAACTTACTTCTTCCATGTATTTCATTGGCTTTAAATAGCAGAGTTGATTATACAATTTATGGAATACAATATATACAATTGTTATGATTGATACAATTGAGGAGAAATCAATGAGTAGATATAGGATCACGTTGGAGGTAATTGTGGATCTGGAGGAGATTGAGGAGTGTTGCATGGAGAAGATTGAGGAGTGTGATTGCTTGGTTTAACACTTGAAGAACTATTTAGACGTTGATTTGGTTTTAGGTACAGAAATATCAACATATAAAGGTAGGGCTACAGGATTTGTGGCAAGTCCAGGAGTACTTGTTGGAAAAAAACAAAGCTAAAGCTCTTCGGAAGGCATTTGAGGAATCATCAATGCCAGATATCGCAATTGGTGATAGAAAGAGTGACTTTGAATTCATGAATCTATGCAAGGTTTGGATGATTGCAAATTTCCTTTTTTATAACTTTTTTTTTTCTTTTTTTATGAGTTCTCATGCTTTTGGTGATATCGTAAGAATACATGTTTAGTCATAATCAATGAAATTTTTTTGTTGAATTATCTCGTTGTGAAGCTTGACCTATTAGATAGATAGGAAACTTACTTGTATCTTTGAAAGGCAATCTAACATGTAGATTATATTCATTAATTGTTGATGTCTACATGATGTGTTCAAGTGTCAAAATATATAATGCCGTGTACAACAGAGTGGCGTTGCCCTATACAGGTTGTTTTATGGGCTGACCTACCCCGTACAACCAAGTTTCAATGGTTAAAAAATTCCATGCAAATTTATTTTTGAAAGATTTAGCCCTTATTTGGTGGAGATTAAAATTAAATTTTTGGCAGATTTTGATAGAAATTGATGAAATGTATATTTGAAAAGTTGTGGGACCCATAACATATATATGTGGTAATTTTAATCAGTACCAAACATAGGCTTAATGTATGGACTCAATGTGGACCTTGTCATGTTGACGGGTAGTGCTAGGCCAATTAAAGATAATATCTTAACTTAATAGTAATCGTTAACTATCTGAAATTGATTCTTATGTTAATGCAGGAAAGATACATAGTCCCGTACGATGCAGGTATTTGGCCAGTGAGCCAAGAACAGTTGCCAAAGCCAGTGATTTTCCACGACGGTCGTCTTGTCCAGAAACCCACTCCACTGATGGCATTTCTAATCATTTTGTGGTTCCCAATCAGCATTCCTGTAGCAATTTTGCGTGTGGCTGTTGGTTCATTATGCCCCATGTATTTATCTTACTATCTTATTCAACTACTCAATTGCCCAATAATCGTCAAGGGCACCCCACCAATAAGGCCAAAAAATGATTCTAATAAACGAAAAGGAGTTTTGTTCGTTTGCTCACATAGAACTGTTCTTGACGCTATATTCCTCTCTATGGCACTCGGCCGCCCGGTTGCCAGCCCCTCGTACTCCGTGGCAAAAATGACGGAATTCTTATCCCCAATTAAGTCAGTTAGACTGACTCGAGATCGCAAGAAAGATGCTAAATTGATCGAAAAGCTATTAGAAGAAGGCGATCTGACTGTATGTGCGGAAGGGACGACATGTCGGGAACCATATTTGCTTAGGTTTTCGGCACTATTTGCTGAATTAACTGATGAGCTAGTGCCAGTGGCTATATCAGTCCGTGCAAGCCTATTTCATGGGACGACGGCTAGAGGATATAAATGGATGGATCCTTTCTTCTATATGATGAATCCCAGGCCGGTATACGAGATAACATTTCTGAACAAGTTGACACGCGATCAGACATGTAGTGCTGGAAAACCAAGCCACGAAGTGGCAAATACTGTGCAACAAATGATCGCTTCTGCTTTATCATACAAATGTACTAAGTTTACAAGGCGGGATAAGTATCTAGCATTAACTGGGACTGATGGGATTGTAGGAGAAAACAAAAAAATCTATAGCTAAAATATAAATGTTGGCCTAAACCTAGAAGCGTGGAAAGATATGTCGTTTCCACTTCAAAGATAATTACTGGCATATCTACATCATGTAATCGCGAATAAAATGTAAAAATTTTCTTCATAAGTGTTTTTCGCTTATAGTAAAATTTGTTGGATAAAATAACAGTAAAGTGCAGAAAAACTTATCAAAAGATCGAGTCTCGTGACAGCACGATGTCAAAAAGCGAAATTGCCCGTAGATAACTGCTGCGAACTCTGAGGACAATCACCTCCAGAATACAACGATCATCTAAACATATTGTNAATATTAGTATCTACTTTCAGGTGTATTTATGTAGCATTATTTTAAATGTTAAAAAATTTAATTATAGCACGGAACCGAACGGAACCGAACAGAACCGAACGGAACCGAACCGAAACCAAACAGTTCCAAAATTATATTTGGAACCGACGGTTCCATTTACTAAATACCCGAAAATTTCTGGAGTCGAAAAAAACCGAACCGAACCGACCCGCGCCCACCCCTAAATACACGCATGTTGAATCTATAATGTTATATTTGTACTGAAAAATACAATGGACAATATTTTAACTTCTCCTTATTTTTGAATATTTCTCGTACGTAACCATGTAAATATTACAAGCTCGAGAATGTTGGCGAGTGATGATATACAAAGATACAAGATTGTCTCCCGCAATACACTCAAGAATTGTATGCACTAAGTATCTACTTGAGAACTTCAACAATGATCACAAACTTGAATCAGTAATATGTGTAGGGTCAATTACAATTCCATGAATTTGCTGTTGTCGGCCCAAAATATTTATGCTAGAAGTGGGAGCAGAAGACTCCCTTAGTTGTGCATGAGGGGGGATTGGCATCTCGTCTGAGTGACCAGAAATGCAGAGTGCTCCAGCATCATCTTGTTCCCAATATACCTCTACCATAATTCCTCTTGGATTTTCTGTAGATTCAGTTCCCGGAACCCCAACAAACCTCGCCCCTATAGGTACCTGCATAGTAAGATAAAAGTTACTTTCAAAATAAATAACTTACTCATAACTGTTCAAGAGATGAAAAGAGGATCATCTTGGGATGTAGGTAAGCTAAATACTTTTACTGTCTAATCGTATTGTCCAAGATACAACAAAAATTCCTCCTTAATCCTCCCACAAATATATATGGAACAAGTCTATCCCTTCAAAGGATCATATTTCATATGGAAAACATGGCAAAACTGGTTACCACTAGACGACGAAGAGGTACAAACTAGATGGAAATTAGACTAGCTCGTAAGTGCCAATGTTGCCGTGAGATTGAATCAATTGAACATGTGCTATTAAATGGCGTTGTTTCTCCTGTCATGATGTTTCAGTATTCAAGATTTTGCAGGAGCAACATGCAAACCTGGTAATTCCCAAGCTATGATTCCCACGTTTGTAATGTGATAGTTAAGGCTTCAGAAAAATAATTGAAAATACTCTTGAGTAAAAATGAAGGCTTCAAGGGTGATCGAAGAAGTAGACTACTTGATCCAAGTTTTTGGTACAGCTGACTCAATCATTGGAGAGCATAGACAAGGAGAGAATATTAGTAGATGGCCTTCAATAGTGTACTGGAAGAGATCTAGCATTGGAATTGTTAAACTCAATTCGGATGGATGCTTTATATCTTCAACCAGCCTTATGGTGGAGGGGTGGCAAAAATGGTAAAGGGGATGTTTAGTTTACATACTATGAATTTTATGATATTGTACATGTCTGGAAGCTGAGGTAGGAGCATAAAGTACTGGTATTAGACTGTGTCGTCAACTTGGTTATGAAAAATGCTCGGGTGGAAGCTGATTCCAAGGCCTCTATTCAGTTAATTTGCCAAAATCTCACGACAGTGGAGAGTCAAGCTATTATACCCCCTATAGCTAATATGGATGGCTAATACAGAGAATAATAAAGGGAGGTCAAGCTGTTATACCCCCTATAGCTAATATGTCAAATCAAAGGACTTTTGCTGCTAGACAAATGGGGCCTCCCAAGTTTAAGAGTGAAAATAATAACCAAAGACACAAAGAAAGGAGATTCAAGATTGTACAAGCACCAGAGTTCAATTCCCCATGCAATAATCCTTTCTATCAATATACTGGGGAAGTGGGGAATGCCAACACCCACCACTTGGCTTAGGTGAGTCACCCAAAGTTCGAGTGAGATTTTCAGGAAAAAGAAATAGTACCGACAAGAAAATTATCCATTTTAAAACAAACTTATTTACTTGTATCTTTTTAAGCTTAGTCAGACATGCATGCACAAGTATGAAGTGCCTAACCCAATTATATTTACCTGAACAGAAACTCCAGAGTTTAGAGTCAGAGTTGCATAGCTTCCCTCAGCAGCAGCACTTTCCAATTCTGCCTGTTTTACTATATTCAGAAAAACTTCTTCCAGAGTCGTAAGACCAAGTTGGATATCTGCTATGCCGTATTCTTTCACTCTCTCTTGGAGATCCTCAAAAAATTTCTGATAGAATTTTTATCCAAATAAGTACATTAATACGGTATGTGCTTACAATCCATTCTAAGTGTTTCTCTTTTTATTTTTGAATCTATTCATTATTAACTTTTGAAACAATTATATTCATAAAAATCGCAGACAAAAGGAAAAATGACTTCTTTCATGACAAAATGTCTGCATTACGACACAAACAAGACTTTAAACCCTATTCTGAATAAACTTGGACTTGGCTCCACGAATTTCTTTTACCCATCAGTTCAACCCAATACTACATCTAGTCATCTACTGAAATGTCCAATAAAATCAAATATTTTGCAAACACATCTAGCCATGTTAATAGCTATTTTCTTACTGAATTACTCTCCCCGAATTGGGTTTATTATGTTAGGTTCATCACAATAACTCCAGGAAAGTTCATATTTGCAATGGTTAGGTTTTCACTTTGGATCCTTAACGTGTTCACTGTCCATTAATAATTTAAATAAGGATACGTAATCATTTCAAATGCAATTGTGCATAAAAATCAGTCAAGATGGAACAGTTGACAAAGTGAGGATTTTACCGTCAATTGCTTCTCCTTTTCATGAGGAATAACAAAAGTCAGGAAAGACTTGTTTTCCTCCTTAGGTGCAATATCCAAATTCTGAGAAATAAAATTGCACATAAGAAAGTGTTTATATGCTTCAGAAGACAATACAAATTTCAAAAATTTGACTTACCGATTTGAAGAACTGTTTAACAGCTTCATTTTGAGAGGTATTAAATGTATCTCCTCTATTTGGGGTACCATTAGCATCCCCAGAAAAGCTTATAGTAGCAATGAAACCCGTTCCAAACCGTGACTTCAACCTTATTGAAGTTCCAATACAGCGAAGCTTACCCTTTGCCATAATTCCTATCCTGTCACTTAAGATATCAGCTTCTTCCATTGAATGAGTAGTTAAGACAATGGCACGTCCTTTTTTAGCCTCTTCGATTACATCCCACACGTGTCTCCGGGTTATTGGATCCATCCCAGTTGTCTACAGGTTCAAAGATAAAAACTCACAGATAAAATTGCAAGAGTAGAATCAATTTAAAATTTATAGAGGAATGAAAATTTTTGTGTCCACTCACCGGCTCATCCAAAATGACCAATTTTGGTTCACCGATAAGGGCAATAGCAACACTGAGACGACGTCTCATTCCACCACTATAGCTACCCGCTCTCGTCTTGGCTGCCTCATTAAGTTTTACTTCTGCTAACAATTTATGTACAACCTGTTATTTTGACAATATCTTAGGTTTTCACACGTCATTATTTTGTGAAAGATCACTTAGGTTTGTAAAGAGCACCTACCTCCTCAATGGAAGCAAGGGGTAGACCTTTGATGCTGGCAAACAAGTAAAGGTGCTCTTGACCAGACAATGTATCCCAAAGAATATCAAACTGTAATATACCAAAAAGGAGTTAATCTCTGTAAATCCAACCAAATTATTCCATTGTGCACGAGGGATTTTCAAACCTCCCCTTTCCCTTTAGTTTGCACCGTACTTTCTGACTAAGTATCTATTTCTGAACATTAAGAAATGAAAAATTGGAGTACAATTATGATATACAAAGATGGGATAGGGAGTCAGGAGTTACCTGAGGACAAACCCCAATCATCCTGCGAATGTTTGACATTCCAGTGGAGCTTCGGACAGAATATCCATAAATTAATGCTGTTAAAACATATTTCATACTTTAGATTCCTTGTGACATCATTAAAATAATGGCAAGGGAACTTGATAACAGAAACACAAGGTCTTACCATCTCCAACAGTTACTGGTGTAATCCCTGTCAAACAGTTAATAGCAGTAGTTTTTCCTGCTCCATTTGGTCCAAGAAGACAAAATAGCTGATCAGTGGGGAAGTTGACCCATAATCCCTGCATGTATAATATCCATTATACCCTTCAGCATGCAATTTAGCATGGCAATTGTACCCTTAAAAAAAAAAGAAAATAACTCAAGGTAGTAAAACTAAATTGTTTGGCAAAGAAGGGCTTTAGTGCTTGCTTAAATAGACACACACAAACACAACAACTTTGTGTGTGTATTCCATTCTGTACACAAATCTCACCATGAAACGAATAAGAAATTGTGAAACTGGTTGCCTTTTTTAAGAAATTTTAAGATGGAAAATGCTTAAGAGTGGAGCCTTCACACTCATATTATATGCACTGATCTATATTAATTGGGAGATTCAGTTCGCAAAAGCTACTCTAACGGTATCATATTCCACAAGATTATTTTACCTTGAGAGCATGATAGGGAGAGGTCCTCGTGCATTTGCAGCAGCCAATCTTTGTTGCTCCAACGTAAGTTTTCACAAGACCACGTATTTGAACTGCAACATGTGAATTTAAACTACCTTCTAAGGCTTGCTGTTCCACTATATTTTCCTCTTCCAGTACATCCTCGTCGCAAGGAGCAGTGCTTTCCACGTGTGGAACTGAATTGAAGCAACTACATATGTTTCCTTCTGAAAGGAAAAAGGCATGCCTAAGATATTAGCAGTTGCTAGTATCAACCAAATGAAAGGATGAAATAAAAGAAAATTATGATATCAGATTTAAATACCTTCCACCTTGTTTCCACCATTTCCTGTCCAGTATCCAGGACTCAAAAAATAAAACATCGATTTTCTCACCCCAGATGTATTAGGAATAACATTGTCAAAGTAGATGGCCAAAACAAACCAGACAAAGGATGTCGCTAAAAGCCATATGTAAATCTCATTCTGTCCATCAGCATAAGTAGTTATGGAAACAATTAAGTGAGAGGCCGTCATATACTTGTGATAATAATCAAATAATTTTCAAGAAAATGATGCCATGTTAGATAAGTTGGATTAGAGAATACTCGACAGTATTAAAAAATAAAAAGAAGTTAAAAATCTTGTCTATTAACTGTCCAATCCTGTTGCCAGACATGCTATGAGTTAATTTTTTAGACTAGTTAACTTGTGACGCATATAAAGGGAAAAGAATAGAAGCTGTGCTTGTTCAACATACAATTGTTACGATGCACTCTGTATCATTTGGTGAACATTTTGTCCTCCCAATCCAGCTGACACCGGGATCTTGAGGAGTTGCAGTTGCATCAGAAAGCAATTGGAGACCTTGGGCAAGAAGATTTGGTGGAAAAAATGACCACACAATTCGGTACGTGTTTGAGAAGTTGTCACTGTAAGGAAATCCAAATGCTGTCACGAGCTGTAAAAGAATGATAAGAAATCAATTATTATGAGCGCAATAAGTACTTAAGTAAAACTTTTTAAGTAGAGAAACTTGCCTGAGTCATGAAACCAACAATAAAGATAGAGTAACCAACAGTGGTGGACGAAGAAGACTTGCTAATAAAGGCGGACAGCATAAAAGCAAATGCAGTCTGACAACACAAAGCAGTAAACAATCCTGCCATTACTCAAAACATTATAATGAGAAAACTAAATTTGGCATACATTTTATACTGGAGTAAAGAAACCTACCATATTCAATTGAAAAAGAAAGAACAAGAAGAACACGACTGCAAAACTGTTGTTCAAGAAAAAATCAAACTGGAACATCATTCCAAATAAAACTGTGCAAAGTGATGAAAGTAACGTGATGATTCCCTCCCAAGTGAGCCACGATAACCAATAGGCAGTATCATAAAGACCCATTATTGCCATTGCCTGTTATGAAACAAGAAGTAATGAATTACTCAGGATTTAGCAATAGGCTGGAACCATAGAACTTGTCTTCGAATCAAAATGCAGATTATTCTATACCTGGCGAAGTTTTAGTTCTTTCTCCGTGATCAAAGCAGCAATTTGAAAGACAAAAGCAAACATAGCAATTGCCAGGAAAAAGGTCGGCCCTACTGTTTGCACAGCCGAAAAGATTTCAAGAGCAGGGTGGGCAAATTCCTTAAGACCGACAACCCAGCTAAAACTTGCACCTGAAGAATATGCAGCCACAGAAAAGAGGGTGCATATCAGGCAGGAAAGTAAGGAAACTCTCATCATACTTTATATGATCCATCAGAACAGAGAATGTTGGGCTAAGCTTAAAAGTCTCTTAGAAAAAACTAAATTGCTCAAACATGTTTGGAAACAAAAAGTAACTTCACTTTTTTATAAGCAAAGCCAAAACATGCTCTATGAGAAGCATTTCGAATGTCATACCTCCAATCAGAGATCTTGCAATTTCACGCTCTGCAGCAAGTTGAAGTGGAATTTGAAATTTAAAAGTAGGATCTTCAAAAGATCCTCGCTTAATAAGTGGAGTAGAATTAGTCTGTAATCCATAGCTAATTACGGTAGCATTTCTGTCGACAAAATGCAGAGCTCCAGGACAATGCATAGGATTGTTGGCAAGCCAATCATCAACTTCATTTTGTGTTTCGAACGACTGAACCTGCTCAAGGCATGATCATTTCCCATTCTTTTAGCAATACAGGTCTGTTATATTACGAGATTTTTAAATATATATATAATAAATGCATGAAATGCACATTTTCCTAAAACCCATTTCATTGTAACGTATCATATGCACTGTAGAACAATTGATGTTCTAAACTTTTCCCAAATATGACATCAGACTGAACCACTTTGTGAACTCTATCTGAAAATTACAGATTTAACTCAAATCCGAAAAGTCTACAACCAAATTTGTTATCACATAGAACTCCAAATATCATAGACAAAGTCGAGTCGCAGATTATAATTTTCATTTCCAGATCATTATTTTCTGCCATTATGATTGTTTCTCATAATAAAAAATGAAAGGATATTGCATCATTTTACTTTAATACATCTGAACTGGAAAAGGTAACTAGCCTTCAGTGGAACACTTCAACCCCTTCCTTCCATCAGACAACAATACCCCCCCAATGTAAATACATCCAAAGAAAAATGGTGTATATGAATGTTTAGTTGCAGACCAGAGAACAAATCTATAACAAAATCATATGAAAATAATTAGACAACTTACTGTACATAGTTGTGAATCAGCATGAACAACTTCACTAAGCAATTTAGTTTTGAGCTTCTAAAACATGAATTTGGAAAATGGCATGAATCAAGGTTGCTAGTACATCTGTGAACTATATAAAATTTGGAATCAACAACTTCATTTTAAATACTAATGTATTACAAATTAGGCTCTAGCATGAATGCTGTAATTTAAACTCACTTCAGAAAATGAATAAATAAATAAATAGAGCATTTTCCTTATACAGATTCCACCATTACTTTTTTTTTTTTGTGATTTTACTATTTGACTTCAAAATTCAATAGATTAAGAAACAAAAAGAAATTTAATTCACCAGTAAAGCTATATTTACCTCTTTTTCTTCATACATTACTCACAATAATACATAACTAAGTGCATGTTCGTATGCAGCACAGAATATGACTGAAAAGGTCCCAATATTATAATGAACAATATTTTAGTTTCTTTGTATTCCTTATTGCGTGCTATCTAACCTCCTACCAAACATACTATAATGGTTTTTGCATCAAAACAAAGATAATCCATTTTCATTTTTTTTAAAATTCAATTTGCTGTAATCAAAATCAACTAAAGTCTAAAGTGATATCCCTTTTAAAAATAACTCAGTCTTCCATCAATAAATTGCAAAAATATTTACATACTTCAATCAAATAAATTCCAGATAACACATTTTACTTACAGAACAAGAGGGGAAAAAGAATTAAACCTTTTCAGATGGAATCCTCCGGCCGGGATTATTCTCTCTTATCCTTCTAACAATCTCTCCAATTCTTGCACTGTCATTCCCACTCCAAACAAAATCAAAGCAGGGCAATTTAGTGTAGAATTTTTCCTCACAAGCTGGGATTGAGGGAAAGATCAAAGGTGCAGGATCGTTGATGCTTTTGAAAGAAGACGAAGAAGCGTATCTCGATTCAATTGCTTTTTGAATGCAGAAGATGATGAAGATGAAGAAGAGGGATGAGAAAAGCTGAAGAAATGTGGATCTCTTGTTGCGCCACGAGAGAAGAAGATTCTTGAAGAGTAAAGCTTTGTATTGTTGGATTAAGAGAGGAAATCCTTTCTGCAATTCCATTGTTTCAAGGTTTGAATTTGAGGATTCTCGTGAATTGCAGAGGTTTTTATAGGTAAAAAAATAGGGTGGTAACGAGGTGTGGAGAGTGGAGAGACTAGGGAACAGATTCGCGGGTAATAAGTTTTGCAATTTGCCCCCCGGGCTTTCGTTAAATGGCAAAGGAAGCCACTGAAATTTGTATGTTTGTGTGGGTGTTTGGGTTTTATGATTGTTGTTTCTTGTAATTTCGATGAGGGTTCGTGGAAGTTAACAAGAAAGCAACAAACAAATTAATATAAAAGTGGACGTATCTATTTATCTAGATTTTACTTTAATATGCTCTGTTGTTTATAGTCAGAAACATATTTTGATCTAAATTCATGTGCCACTTTATTTCCTAGTCGATGAATAGAAAGGCAAGAATCAACACCTACGTCATTTATTAGAACTACAACATCATTTAACAGAGAAGCATTCCGAACCAGCATAATATTTGACTTCAGACCTTGTACAATACAAAATTATCTCATTTAGCAATTACATTTAGGGCTTGTCTGGGCACAATTTTCTTGGCCAAAAAATTGATTGTTTGTCCATTAATTTCAACAAGGGTCCACCCATTGTGAGGAGGAGGTCAACATGTGCGGCTGCCAACGGTAAAAAAAGGGATTAAAAGTTGAGGAAAATTGGAAACAAACACACGCTTACTTCTACGAAAATCGGGCCATTTCAAAGCGCTATTTCAGATCAATGAGATCCCAATATCCTCTGATAAAAGAAGAACATTCATTCACACTTTGCTCACAACAATAATCATTACCAAGTGATCATGGGTTACTATTCCAACCAACTGCAACCAGTTTCTCTTCAAACAACCGTATTTGCATTTAGTTTGAGAGAGTTGAAAACATAATCTTTAATATAATTAAAATTTGGTGTATATTTATATTTTTAAAAATACATACATACATATATATAGATAGGAGATAAAACTGTAACAAAACGTGCTTCCTTGATTCTGATAATGAAGCAGTGCAAATAGTCAAATAAATTTGACTTTTATGCAAATACTTTTTTTGCAGTCAACTGTGTACTAGCATGTTGACATCACGCTCTTTAAACTTGCTAATGAAGTAACGTGTGATTAATAAATAAATAAATAAAATTGGAAATTTGGACCACTTGTGAGTAGAAAATGTAAATATATGAAGGAACATTTCGCGGAAAATATTAGGATGCACCATTTTGAAGTTCGCATGTTTATAGTCTTTTTTGTTTTGACTATAGAACACGTGTCCAAGAAAAATATTATTTTCGTAGATTTTATAAGGGAGGATAAGTTCACATGAATATAAAAGGGGAACCAAATCTGTGAATAATAGTAAAGTTTCTTAAAAATCAATATTTTAATCTTTTATCAGTTTAAAGTTTTTAATTACGGTGATTTCAATCTTTGTTTCGATGAACGTTCTTCATCAACTCCGTCATTCATGAAAATTTAAAAATTGAATAAATGAACAAACTTTGTAACTCCTTAATTATCTATAAATCGAGACTTGTTTAAGATACTTAAATTGTATTGAAGTACTTGTTTGATGGCTATTATTCTCAAAAAACGATGTTTCGAATAATGATTTTTAGGATAATGTGTGTAGTTAAAAAGTAGGAAAAAATTTTAAATTTACATGCATAATATTTTATTGTGTGAATGTGTGATTAAAAATTTGTATATAAAAAAAAATTGAAAATAATAATTGTCAAACATATGCTAAGTAGATAGTTGAATATAAGTACATTTCACAATGTCATTGTCAATTATTTTAAATCATGAGAGCAAGAGTACATTGGACTAGTTCCTCCTTCACGCAGAATACAGTCCTTTATTTTAGATGGAATTTGTTGACTTTAAACATTGAAACTGCAGGCTGATGGGATAGAAATTTGAAAAATATTAAATCCCCGTTTGGTGTACATTTGGAAGGTAAGAATGCATTTTTACTGTTAATGTGATGGAAAATATGTGATTGAAAAATAAGGAAAAGTTATTGATGTGATGAAAAATATTATTTTATTGAAAAATGTATGGTTGAAAATGAGTAAAAGAATGAGAATGAAAATTTTAATGTGGCTCAAATAGGGGCTAAACTTTTTTTCTATTTTTTAACTATTGATTTAACACGGGAGTTTGTCAAATTTGTTTAGTAAGGACATTTTCTTTATTTTTTGACGTGATGTGATGAGGAATATGTGGTTGAAAAAGAAGGAAAAATTATTGATGTGATGGAAAATATTATTTTATTGAAGAATGTGTGGTTGAAAATGAGTAGAAGAATGAGAATGAAAAAAATAATGTGGATCAAATATGGCCTAAGGTTTGAAGTGTACCACGTTTCTTTTTTATACAAATAACATGTCCCTAACTGCGACCACAGAATTTGTTAGTTCTATTTTAAACTTTTCTTTGATCAAATCATTAGTTGAGTATTCACATAGAAGATTGAAGGAAACCATGGACTCTTTCCAGGAAATTGTATCGCAGGCATTTCCCGCGTGTGCGCACAAGTCACCAAAACACATACATAGGCAATGGATGAGCTTGCAACAAATATGCTTATTATATCTATAAATTACGCGACATTTGTATAATGGAGAAAATTCCACATATGCCGACTCGACATCGATATTGAATTGGATTGGACTAATTAAATCAAACTGTTTCGCGCGGGTTGCCGCTTGTGTAAAGAATAGACATTTTGAGACAAAGTCCCAACAATAGGTATTTTATTGGTGGTGATTTACAATTGGAAATAAACAGAATGCCTGCAAAGAGAGCAAGCGCACGAGTACTAAAACCAGTGTTTAAAGTTAAATTAAGAAATTGAAATTATATATTCTCTGTTTAGAATGTTTGATTCGGAGTCTTTTCTCTATATCTTTTTTTCCTTTTTATATTTCCTTGATAATTCCTTCATGACAAACTGCTTAGAAAGTACTTGATTGCTCTATAACCACCCACTTTCTTCATGATGACTGACTTATCATGGAACTGCCGTCTATAACTGTTGCCATTACTCTCGTCGTTCAACCGCTTACAACTGTGATTCTTGGATCGTAGGGTGTGATAAGGTTGCTCAATAACTGTTTCAATAACTGCAGCTCTAGATAACCATAATATCTCATGTTTACTAAGATCCTAGGCGATTCAAAGGTTTGGACCAGAATAGGCTCATTCGCTCTGTGCGATTTTAAGGCACTCCACTCGCTCAAATCTTGGGCGTTTTGTAAGCTTGGGCGATAATGTTCGTGGGCTTCCACTGCATCCATTAATGGTCATATTTGTTCCTTCATGACTTCCTAACTGGGTTTCATACCTTAGTTTGGGCTACACTTTTTGTATGTCAACAATTACTCTCCAATATGACAGAATTAATACCAATTATTAATCTTTGCCATATTATTTCTTTGTATTTTTCGACAATATTTGAAATTTCCAAGAATTTCAATCATTATTTCCGTTTGATTGTAACCCTTCTATAATCTGACAAGGTGCAACGTTACAAACCCCTATAAACTCCAAAGACACGTCACTTCATCGCGCTATTACCTTCACATCTTCACATTAACTATGTCAACGAGTCGAGCGAAAAAAAAAAGCTCAAGCCGAGCCGGGCCCTACAAAAAAAAATGAGGCTAGGCCTGAGCCTTAGCGGACCGAGCATGCTCGATTTTTTTTTCTTTTTCTTTTTTTTTTTT